GCGCAGATTATCAAGGGTCGCCTTATCTGCTGCATACAGCAGGGCGGATAAGCGAAAGCACGCTACTGCTGGCGCCTTCCTTCTTTCTTTCCCATCTTTCTCTCTTACTCCCACCCCGACCGCCCTTACTAAGCTTCCTTCTATAAATCCCAGCTTAATTGACAGCAATCGAAGTGCCACTGGGGTAGAACCATCTGCAGTCACCATCCCATCGCACCTATCAGACGCGTATCGGCAAAAGTCCCTTATAAGGCCACGCTATCTCGTTTCCATGGCGACATTCAACTTTCGCACTCTAAGACAAACCTGTCAACAAGCTGCTCTAGCACACACCTTGAACACAGTGGGTATTGATGTGTTGTGTGTGTCCGAAAGTAGGATCAATAACCCTAACGGGGTTATTGAATTGACTGCACCCGACTTTTCCTCTCGTTATTGGTTGCACGCATCCGGAGACGCCGATGCAGCACTCACCGGTCAAGCTCGTGTAGGTATTATTCTAAGCTCCAAGGCTGAGTCATCGTTGGTTGATTGGATTCCGGTGAACATCTGTTTATGTGCGGCACGTTTGACGACATCAGCTAAGGTGGATTCACGAAATAGTAAAAAGCGCTGTTTGTTTGTGATTTTCGCTTATTCTCCCATCGACTGCCGTTCTAATGCAGTCAAGGACACATTCTATGACGAACTGAACGTGCTACTACGCAGTGCTACTAGTTCAGATATTATAGTACTTGCAGGGGATATGAACGCACAAGTAGGGCGTCTGAGCTCTTCAGAAGCTCAACTGGGAGGTAATTGTGGTCTTAACTCCGAACGGTCTTTGCACGATAGCCAGCTGTTTGTGACGGTATATTGTCTACACTTTGTGTAGAAAATATACCAAACTGGGTGCCGTTGGTCCGTCTCGCCTTCCGGGTTGGAGTCCACGTGACTCACCTTGTGCTTGGCTCGAGACTTTACAGGACATGGCTCGCAACCGACACCAGTGGCGCGTCTGCTGCCGTCTCCTACTCGGATTGTCTGTTTAAAGTGTGTTTGGTGCTGAGTTATCTGCGGGGTAATGGCTGATTATGACGCGTGGGAGTGAAAGCCGCAAGGAAGCTGTCTCGCCGATGCCGCCTTATCTTTGCACGATAGCCAGCTGTTTGTGACGGTATGTTGTTAACACAAGGTGTAAGCGCCTTGACCCTGAATGTTTGCTTAGGGCATTAAGGTTTTCAGGTAAGTCCCCCTTCTCTCCCTCTTCTTATTCTTTATTTCAAAGGTCCTCATGGTTGTATAGCAGCGAAGCATCAGTTCAAATAGCTGATGTACTGTTGTTGTTGTTGTTGTTGTTGATGATGATGATGATGATTACTCCGAACGGACTGAGAACGGTTAGCGTCTGCTGCAACTGTGTGCGGAGTACCAGTTGTTTCTTAGTAGCACTGCTTTTAGACACAGTGGGCGCCGAAGTGCCACTTGGCGTCCTCCTGTAGCTGGCCAGCGATGGACCGAAATTGACCACATAGCCATAAGTTACAGGTGGCGTGGTTCCATCCTGGATTGCCGCTCATACTGAAATACCTGTGTCGACTCTGGTCATGCCTTGGTACGCTGTCGTTTCTCCACGAACTTTACCAGAAGGCGCAGCAAGTGTCCCCTGCGATTGGCAACGGAAAAATTGTCTCAGTCCTCGGTCAGGCAAGCCTATCAAGGAACACTGTATGCCGAACTTCCGCTGTCTTGTCCTCATGACACTGCGCTTCAGTGAAATAGGCTCTCGGCCGCCATGCACGATGCAAGAGCATGTGCTTGTGGCACTATCAGTCGTCATCGCACCAGTCAGTGGATATCCGAGAGGTCGGAATCTAGAAGACACCTCCCGGCTGGCTCTAAGCACAGTGTGACCAGACGGGCTATTAGGCGTGAACTAAAGCGGAGCCTACGTGCTGACAAGGAAGCCTGGTGGACCAGTAGGGCTCAAGAAATGGTGAAAGCAGGAGCAGTAGGCTATTGCCGCAAGCTATTCCAGCTAATCCGCACCACTGGTCCCAGAAAACCAGGCGTCAGTGAGACAATCAGAGACATCGCAGGTGCGCTGATACACAATAAGGAGCGCCGTATGGCTTGTTGGTCTGAACACTTTGAAGATCAGTTCAGCTGGCCCCCTGCTCCCGGACCTCTTCCTACTCCTGGGATGCAGGACGAGCCATGGACGGTTAGTTTAGAGCCTCCGTCGGAGGCCGAGGTCCGAAACGCGATCACAGCCCTCAATTGTTTTCGTGCGGCTAGTTCGGATTCCCTCCCACCTGCACTATTTAAGGATGGAGATGAGGTCCTCTGCAAAGCACTGGCCTCCTTATTCGAATGTATCTGGAAGGAAATTTCCCGGCTACTTGGAGCGAATCGGTTATAGTGGCAATATACAAGAAGGGCAGTCGCACAGACTGTGCTAACCACAGGGGTATTAGCCTAACGCCAGTTGTGATAAAATTACTGGCCTCGATTCTCGTTCGTCGCCTCACTGCGGAACGGGAATCTCGGATTAGAGAAGAGCAGGCCGGTTTCCGCCCAGGACGTGGCTGTATGGACCATGTATTTACTTTGCGGCAGGTGCTACAGCAGCGCCACGCATACCGCAGACCGACAATAGCTGTGTTGCTCGATTTCAAGAGTGCGTTCGATTCAGTCGATCGATCGATTCTGTTCGAAATACTTGCGCGGAAAGGTGTTCCCACGAAATATGTGAACATCCTTCGTGCTCTATACTCGAACACTAGAGGCCGCGTCAGGGTCTATGGTGTCCTATGGGATAGCTTTTCGACTACAAGTGGCGTTCGACAGGGTTGTCCGATTTCCTCATTTTTGTTCAGTTTCGTCGTGGATTCTATCATGGAGTGTTCCCTTGCGGAATCTCACGATGTAGGTGTTGAAGTGCTGCCTGGGGAAAGGTTAGTTGATCTAGATTATGCGGACGATATCGTCTTGCTTTTCGACAATGTTGAGGCGGCACAATCAACCCTGAATAGCCTGTCCAGAGTGGTCCCATTATTTGGTATGCACTTCGCACCTTCAAAGTGCAAAGTGTTGCTGCAGGACCACCAGCCACTCGATGACCCCTTGACGCTTGCTAACAAGAAACTCGAGGTGATTGATCAATTTACTTATCTTGGCAGCTGCATCAGCAATGATGGGCGCATAGAAACTGACGTGAGCTCACGCATTGCAAAGGCCAGAGCTGCTTTCTTGTACCTGCGTCATCTTTGGCGACAGAAGGGAGTTTCCCTCCGCCTGAAAGACCGTGTAGACAAGGTTACAGTAAGGGTCATTCTGCTCTATTGTAGTGAGACTTGGCTCCCTCGGTCTGAAGATCTGAGGCGCCTTCAAATCTTTGAACATCGTTGTCTGCGAAACTGCTTGTGTCGAATGGCACCAGCGTGTCCGCAACGATGATGTGCGTTGGCGAGTACTAGGTGGTGGTAATCATGCTAGCTCCCTAGATAGCACTGAATAAGTTGCGTTGGCTCGGGCACGTGTAACGTATGCCTGGTCACCGCTTACCTAGGAGGGCCTTGTTTAGTCTGCCAAATGTAGTGTTGCGCATGGCGGGAGGTGGAAAGTAGTTGACTTGGCAGCGGGGAATGAAGTCACTGACGACCAAACTGGGTGCGGTTAGTCCTCTTGCCTTCCGGGTTGGAGTCCACGTGACTCACCTTGTGATTGGTTCGAGACTTTACAGGACATGGCTCGCGACCGACATCAGTGGCGCGTCTGCTGCCGTCTCCTAATTGGATTGCCTGTTTAAAGTGTGTTTGGTGCTTAGTAATCTGCGGGGTAATGGCTGATTATGATGCTTGGCAGTGAAAGCCGCAAGGAAGCTGTCTCGCCGATGCCGCCTTATCTTTGCACGATAGCCAGCTGTTTGTGACGGTATGTTGTTAACACAAGGTGTAAGCGCCTTGACCCTGAATGTTTGCTTAGGGCATTAAGGTTTTCAGGTAAGTCCCCCTTCTCTCCCTCTTCTTATTCTTTATTTCAAAGGTCCTCATGGTTGTATGGCAGCGAAGCATCAGTTCAAATAGCTGATGTACTGCTGTTGATTATGATGATGATTAAAGTGAAGTTGGAACGGTACGATAAAGCGGAATGTGCGTAAGAAGGGGAATAAGAAGACGGGAAGGCTTGGGCAGTAGCATCTAACCTATCCACCCTGCTCGATGCAGCAGCTAGGGCACTGTTGATTATCCTCTGCGGTGGCCAGGGCATCAGGCAATTGGTTGAGGAACGATTCATACTATCACTCGACTGATGGGGGATAATCTATCGCGCAGCCTGTTCATCTGTTCGTTTCCAGTGCGTAGCCACACACAAACAACTGCCTTTACAATGCTCATACCACGGTCGTCATCAACGTGTTATGATCAATCAGTCATTCAGTTTTACACCACGGGGCTATTTTCTCTTCTCCTTGGCTTTGTGGAGTCTCCGAGATCAGACGAAATTGCTATTGAAATGCAAAAATATCGACCTTTTGACAAACTTTCGTGATTTTGGTGTGTCACGACCATATGTTTGCAGTTTAGCTCTCTACTACGATGTGCACCATTCGCGCGGTTCGTTGCCCTCTTCTCTGCTTTGTGTCTCATTGCGTCTCCTTTTTTTAACGTACATTGCCATTCTGAGTTATTATTCTCACCTTTCCGTTTATTTTAGCATATACTATATGCAAACCTACGCTAAACATGACACGCCCCCGCTCCCATTGGGCCAAGAACATCAAAGATAAAAGGATTGCTGGACAACTCACAAAAGTGGAACCTTTTATTTACTTGGCATGTTGTTCACGCTTTGATTCATCGAGTCTTGTTGACTTGGTCGAAGAGCCCTTTGCTGTTCTGTCTGCTTCACAAGTATGCTGCAATAGGCTTGTCTTTCTAGAAAGCTAGTCTGATAGTGGGCGACAGTTCAGAGTCTACGATGGAAGCGTTTGGATCACTTGCTTGCTTTCTTCGGATATGGGTAGTAACAAGTTCAGTTGCAGGTTATTCCGTATAATGTCTTAATACCATGACCTGTTATCTTTCAGCAACAAGTTCCGCTTTCGTGAATGTTACTACTGGCTTATACGGATATTGGAATATATAGTTCGCTATGAGGAAACACAAGTATACATGCGCTTATGATGACGTTTTATTGTAGGCTGAGTTCGTTTTAGTGGTGAGCTTGCTTTCTGTGATTCAAAAATTTCCTTTGAGAGATTTCAATTTATCTGCTATACCTAACATGTAGGTACGAGTTTTTGTTCCGTTTTAACCAACTGGGTTTTCCAAGCTCATAAACGTACGATGTTATGCTAACCGCCAGCTTCTGCCACTAGTAATTAGTTTCAAGTTGAACGAATACAAACGTAACGTGTCAGCTCTACGCCGTAACTGCGCTTCGCTGCCGTGCGATAATCACCAGTCGCACGAATGTGGGAATTACTACACCAACTTCCCAGTTGGGTCCAGATGGTACGCCTAAAATTTACGGTACTTCAAATTGATTTGCAATCCTGTATACAGCCACATTAGCCGTAACTGATAGGGATGTGTTCCATTTACGTCCACGGTTGGTCAGGTGTTGTGGGTCTCCAGGTGGCTGGCTGGTATCAGTATCACCGGAAGCTTGTACTTGAGACGAATAAGTCGTGATCGGCGCAGAGCTGAAGCATGCGTTCACGTTGTCCGCTTTGCGAATACCACAGTTATGATAACCACCGGAAGTTATGTTGGTCAACTTCATGTCTGCCGACCTGTGCGGATACGTTCCTGGCAAATACCACAAGGTCTGTGCGGCGAATTTCGCTGCAGTCTGTGGGAACATAGGTTGCTACGACGAGCAAGCAACGCCCGTTGACTTCACGCCTGGACGTTCGTACTGTTTCTGGTAGGATTGCGCAGACTAAAATATCAACCTGAATCCAGTCTAGTAGTGCAACTATCCGGGAAAAGTTAAGAACATCAAGGAAAACCCATTATTTAGCAATTAATCGATTATCGATTGTGCATTGGTTTCGAAGATTCCGGAATGTTCCATTCCTTCAGTGATTGTCAGCATACGGAGTTTTGGCCGGATGGCTGTTAATTTTACCATTTGACTTTTATTTTCTAGAAGCCGAAGGTCATTAAGCCACCTATATATTTTGCGTAGGTCTGCCATAGTTATACAATGTTTTGACTACGTTTGGCGGCGTTTTTGTTAACACTTTTTTTCGGGGTCAAAGTCGTTGGACTTCTGATTTTTTTCGGCTGGGCTAATACACTTGCGGAGAATTTTTGGGTGTTTAATTCGGCATAGCGAGAAACGTGAAGATCTACCAGTGGTGACAGACAAGCACGAAAATGTTACAAACTTTTCCGCCGAACATTTTCAAAAGCTGCTTCTTGTGCAGCCATCCCAAGTGGAAGCGCAAATGAAACTGATTGAAAGTTTGACGCAGTACTTGAACTTACAGTCCAACGGAGCGGCTACACGGGACACGCAGGCCGTTTCACTTGATTTTCTTACGGATGCAATCACTGCATTTCATTATGATGCTGATTCCGAATGCACTTTTTAGGCGTGGTTTAAACGCCGGGATGACATTTTCCGGACGGATTTCAGCCGTCAAGATGATTCATGGAAAGTGCTTCTTTTTCTCCGCAAGCTCCGTACTAAGGAACATTCACGATTCGTCGACCACATCCTATCCAAAGAGCTAAATGACATCACTTTCAAATGTGGGAGCAGGAGACTGTCCCAACCGACTGGAGCCGCTCCGTTATTGTTCCCATCTTCAAAGGCGGCTCGCGCTCGGAATGCGGCAACCATAGAGGAATCAGTCTGATCTCCATCGCCTCCATAATTCTTCACAGACTGACTGGCGCTCGTGAAAGCCAGATTCGTGAGGAGCAAGCCGGGTTTCGTCGGGGTCGTGACTTCACCGACCACATCTTCACCTTGCGTCAGTTGTTGGAGCACCGCCACACATATTGGCGGTCTACCGTTGTCATGTTCCTCGACATCAAAGGTGCCTTCGATTCGGTTGATCGATGTGCCCTTTGGAAATGTTTACTCAGGAAAGGTGTGCCCGAGAAATATGTAAACATTATCCTAGCATTATATTTGCGTAGCTCGGGCAGAGTGAGGGCTTATGGCAAACTGTCGCCACTCTTCAATATCTCCAGCGGTGTGAGACAAGGGTGCCCGCTGTCACCTTTCCTCTTCAACTTCGCTATTGACGAAGTCATGTAGTTTGCATTTACAGGACATGACTTGGAAGGTGTGGAGCTACTCCCAGGAGAACGACTTCTTGACTTGGAGTATGCAGACGACATTGCCCTCATCTGTGACAGCTCCCAGACGTGCCAAGCCGCGCTGAACAGATTAGCACTGGCTGTCAGCCGCTTCGGGCTTTGCTTTGCACCATCGAAATGCAATGCGTTCCTCCAAGATTGGCAGGGATCGCCTCCTGCGCTGACCCTTGGTGGGATCAGCTAGAAGTTGTATCAGTGCCCTTGGGATCGAAGACGAGATCACGAACCGTATAGCGAAAGCCCGGAGTGCTTTTGCTAACTTTCGCCACCTATGGCGGCGGCGCGACATTACTCTCGCCCTGAAGGGTAGAGTGTATAATGCAGCGGTACGTTCGACCTTACTGTACGGCTGCGAAACCTGGCCCATAAGGTCGGCGGACTTGAAGAGGCTAGCTACGTTCGACCATCGGTGCCTTCGCAGTTTGGCTCACATCTGGTGGGAACACCGCGTGAGTAACGAGCGTGTTCGACGCCTTGTTTACGGCCCAGGAAAAGGAAATGAACCGCTCAGCACCGTTATTTCCCGCATCAGGTTCCGATGGCTCGGTCACGTGTTACGCATGCCAGCCCACCGACTCCCTCGACGTGCGTTGTTTACTCACCGGGGATGTGGATGGATGAAGAGGAGGGGTGGCCAAGCGCTGACTTGGTCGAGAGGAATGAAGTCCATCACTTCGGAGCTAGCCTTGGTTGGGGCTTCACGGCTCCCTGGTTGGGGTCCAAAAGACGGTGAACACCTTTGGCTGGATACACTTGCTGACATGGCAAGGAGCCGACCTCAATGGCGTTCGTGCTGTGAGTTTCTTTGTCCCCCCCCATCCCTTTTAGTCTCCCCATCCATCTACGATCTCATTTCCTAGGGTAAAGCATAATAAAAAAAATTTTCTTTTTGCCTGTTAGCTGGCTGGAAGCTTACCGGAACGATGCCTATCCGTTGCTGGTAGCTCAGCTGGCATGCAACTGTTGTATCTATTTTTCCTTTTTGTATTGTATTATATGTATGTATATATGTATTTCTTTCATGTATTGCGACACAATAGCGGAGGTGTTTTCCCACCTCTAGCTGATGTGTATAATGATGATGATGACTTTCAACGAAGCAGTGACAATACTCAGAGAAATTTTTGGTGTCATTGTTTAGCATTCGCTACTAATGTATAAAATTGTTAAAATATAAAAAACAATTGTGTCAGCTGTGCGCCATAACGGCGCTTCGCTGCCGCGCGACCACCACCAGTCGCGCTCGGGCTGAGTATACCGCAATGACGCCCAACCCTATGCGGATTCGAACCGGTGACCTTGTGGTTGCAAAGCAAACATGCAGACCACTCGGCCACCGGCCGACCTACAATTGTTAAGCGGGATACGGATGAGTATGGGGCACTAGCAGGCATGGTTAACCCTGAATGTGAACGTTTCAAGTTACCGTGTTTGACGGATGACCAGTTGAAGTGTCTCATATTTGTCACTGCTTTACAGTCCCCACGCGACGCTGAAATCCGCACTCGGCTCCTTGCTAAGTTGGATCAAGATCGATATTTTACATTGAAGTCTCTTGTAGGCGAATGCAAACGGTGGATCACTTTGAAACACGACACTTATAATTAAGCAGTGTTGCCCCGTCATTGCCGATACTGTTCATGCTGTGCAGAAATCAAGAAAGGCTGGCTCGAATAAGCCGTTCAACTGAGTGCCGAACAGATCGTCTACATCTTGTTGGTCATATGTTGAATGCCATTTCGAACGATACTGTCCATTAAATCGACACGTTTGTGATAAGTGCCATGAGCGCGGCTACAAGGAAGACTTTTGCTATCAGTTCCGACCAAGAAACTTGAAGCAGTCCTACCGAAGGAAGGACTTTAGGAAGCCTGACGCAGAATCACCATAGGTGATTACCACTTTTCGCAGCGATTCTAGAACACGCTGCCGATTTATCATTGTGCTCATTAACGGGATCCCAACCAGGCTACAGTTCGATACGGCCTCAGATATGACTATCCTTTCCAACACTTGGAAGCACCTAAAGAGGCCGAAGAGGGTAGATTTCAACAAAGTCGCCCACAACGCATCCGGTGGAGTGCTGAAGATGGTCGGAGAAAGAACTTGCAAGGTTTCGTTCCACGGAGTGGAACAGACCGGAACCTGCTACTTGTCTGACCGACCAACCTTTAACTTACTTGGGCTTGACTGGATGGAAACGTTACAACTGGTTGATGTTCCAATGAGTCAGCTTTGCAATAGAGTCCAACCGATCCAGTCCATACATCATTGTTGGTAGATGACATGACGAGAAAGATAACGCAGCAATTTGCCTCCTTGTTTGAAGATGTTCTCGGTCATTGCACTAAGTTCAACGCAAAGTTGTACCTTCTTGAAGGAACCAACCGCGTCTTCAGGGCAAAATGACCGGTATCGTATGCAGCCATGGCAACAGTTGATCAGCAGCTCGACCTACTGGAGCGCGCTGGTGTCATCACACCAGTGAACTACTCTTCATGGGCTGCGCCGATCATTGCTGTGAGAGAGCCGAACGGTAAAGTGCGTGTTTGCGCCGATTTTTCGACTGGCCTGAATGCCACAGCCCCTTCCGAAACCAGAGGTTATGTTTGCCAAACTGAATGTTGGAAAGTGTTTCGACAAGCTCGACTTGTTCGATGCCTACATCGAGGTCGATGTTGATGAAGGCTCGAGAGGATTGCTGACTATCAACGCTCATCGTGACTTGTACCAGTACAACCGCCTCCCTTTTGGAGTGAAACCAGCACCAGCCATCTTCCAGCAGCTGATGGACACCATGCTCGCGGGAGTTTCTGGAGCCGCGGCGTACCTGGATGCTATCATTTTAATGGGTCAAATAGTAGCAAACCTATTCAAATAGCTCGCTGAAGTGCTTGAACGCATCTAGTCATATGGTTTCCGTATTCGTGAAGACAAATGTACATTTTTACACCAACCATCAGGTTCCTCGGCTCCATTTTCACAACAGCGGTCGTCGTCCTAATCCATAAATTTTCCGAGCTATTCGAAAAATGCCTCCGCCTTCGGACTTGCAATCGCTGCGTTCATTCTGTGGCGTAATTAGTCGCTACAACATTTTTCTGCCCGAAGTTTATCGCTTGCGTGCCCCGCTGAACAAGTTGCTGAGCAAGGGCCAAAGCTGGAATTGGACGTCAGAATGCCAGACTGCGTTCGATCGGGTCAAGCCATTGCTGACTTCGGACCTACTGCTAACTCACTTTGACCCGTCCCGAGGATTTTTCCTCGCCACAGACGCATCAAGTCTAGGGATCGGTACCGTAGTTTCCCATACGTTCCCAGATGGATCTCAGTAGGCGATCGCACATGCCGCCAGGACGCTGACGAAAGCCGAAAAATCTCCAGTCAGATCGAGAAGGAGGCATTGGCCGTAGTGTTTGCTGTTGTTAAACTTCACAAAGTGCTTTATGGTCGCCGCTTCGAGCTCTTGACGGATCACAAGCCTCTGCTGTCCATTTTCGGCTCAAAGAAGGGAATTGCTGCCTATACAGCCAGTCGACTCCAGCGATGGGCACTCAACTTACTGGGCTATGATTTTGAAATCCGTTACCATTCAATGGTTTCCATGGGCCAGGCAGATGCCTTGTCACGCCTCCTTGATTCCCAGCTATAAGAACACGAGGACACCATCATAGCCACAGTTGAGATCGAACCTGATGTCAAATTCCTGGTGAGCGAGGCATTACATGATCTGCCAGTTACGGACGAAGCTGTGCGGGCCGAAACGCTTCGAGATCCAATACTTAAGAAGGCTACACCCTTCCACAGAACCAGCTGGCCACGTTCCTGTTCATCCGCCGAAATACAGCTATTTTATTAGCGTTCTCCATTGTGAACGATTGCGTCATGTTCTCAGAGAGAGTAGTCATCCCGCAGGTGTTGCGAGAGTGCTGCGGCAGTTCCATGCAGGACATCCAGGGCTCAACCGAATGAAAGCGCTTGCCCGAAGTTATGTCTATTGGCCGTTTATGGACAGACAGCTGAAGTAGCTAGCTATAAGTTGTAGCAATTGCGCTACCGTTTCAAGGGCACCGCCGAAGACTGAACTCCACTCGCGGCCCAAACCAACTAAACCTTGGAGCCGTGTTCATGTCGACTTTGCAGGCCCAATCAATAGCCAGAACTTTCTAATAGTGGTCGACGCTTATAGCAAGTGGCCCGAAGTGTTCCTCATGAGAAGCACGAAAACCAGCGCAACCGTCTCTAGGTTGCGACAAATCTTCAGCAGGTTCGGCTGTCCTGAAACATTGGTGACGGAAAATAGAGCACAGTTTACTTCGGCCACATTCACGGAATTCTGCCAACGCTGCGCCATCAAACACGTGCGGTCTCCACCATTCCACCCACAATCGAATGGCCAAACGGAGAGGTTTGTGGATACATTCAAACGCGCTCTCCTCAAATCATTGAGGGAGGGAGACGTAGAGGAGGTGATCGACCGCTTCCTATTTCTGTACCGATCTACACAAAATCCACAAATACCGGGTGGAATATCACCAGCAGAGGCAATGATGAAGCGAAAGCTTCGCATACCATTTGATGCAGTTCGATCATCCTCAGAGTCCACAGCTGGCGAAAGGAACTTCAAGATGGAACGTGACTCTAATCGGCGGTATGGTGCTAAGCGACGTTCGTTTAAACCGGGTCAGCCAGTACTTGTACGTGATTACCGGGAAGGACACGCAAAATGGACGCCAGGCACGATCTTGGGCTGGCGCGCGAATGTAATTTACGACGTGATGGTTGGAACGCAGATATGGGTACGCCATGTAAACCAACTGCGGTCAACACTGTGTCAGTTACAAGCAACAGAATCTGCCGAGCTTCCATTTGATCTGTTGACGGGTAGCTTACACTTGCCTAAAGAGCCTGTGGAAGAACCCTATCATCAGACGAATGATATCAGACCGCAGAGCATGGAGCTTGAATCCAGAACACTACAAACAAAACGATGGACTGATGGGCCTAGAACACCTTCCAGAATGTTTCAGGTCAATCCCATGCCATCGTCATACACCACTGGAGCCGTTTTAGGAGGGCAAATATCCTGGGAAAGGTAAAAACATCAAGGAAAACCCGTTATTTTAGCAATTACTCGATTATCCTCGATTGCGCATTAATTTCGAAGATTCCGGAACCTTCCATCCCTTCACGTGATTGCCAGCATACGGAGTTTCAACAGGGAGGCTGCTAATTTTACCAGTTGACCTCTGTTTTCTAGTGGCCGAAGGTCATTGAGCCACTTATATATTTGGCGTAGGTCTGCCATAGTTGTAGTGTTTTGTCGGCGTTTTTGTTAACACTTTTTTCGCGATCAAGGTGATTGGACTTTTGATTTTTCTTGGGCTAAGCTAAAACACTTGCGGAGAGTTTTTGGGTGTTTAATTCAGCATAGCAAGAAAACGTGATGATCTAACAGCATAGCAATAAAACGTGAAGATCTAACAGCAACTTCATCACACTGTCATGACGGGCGGCTCTGGCATCTGAGTCTCCAGCTAAGCGCAGTGTGAAACTGCCAGCGGAACTCGCAAACAGTGAAAACCAGTCGTAGCGTTATGCTGTGGTTCTGTAATCAGGTTTCAATGAAGCAGCAGACATCAGTGGCAGTAGTGACTAGGGTGTGAACACGAATTGTCTGTGATCCGATTCGTATCATCCTCCGAGACTTAGAGGCTTGTTACTACCTCTAGGCAACGCGCGCTTGGACCTAGGTTCCTCGCCCAAGGCGACACGGTGTTGTGAGCTCGGAAATAGAGTGCGCAACCGATGATGGCATGATTAAGCAAACGTCGATTGATGTGTTTGGATGATGATGTGATGGAACGCGTTTTCGCGTGTTCAGTCGCAAACATCTCGGCTGCCGTTAGCAGTTTTACAGAGCAGAAAGGGCAAGCCTGGACTCGTTGAAACACTGGTCTATTTGATATGTTTTCATCTTACTGCCCTGTAGCTTCACCTGAGAAAGTGTTGGTTTAGGGGACTCAGCCCGGATCCTTGGGTCATACAGACCTGATCCACGAACCGTTGGGAACCGCCGACCAAACTCAGGGTAGCACGGTTTTCGAGTAGCAACAAATTACTCAGTGAGCGTAAAGAGGATGAGTACAGAAGCACAGAGGCCAATAAAGATCTTCTTCATCCCTGAGCTCGCCATCTGGCACAATGGCCGTTGACATTCAGATAGCTCATACGCTTTCACAGTGTCTACCTAGAAGAAACCAGTGGTTATGAAGATTGTTCACCCGCCCTCCGTCGGATACTTACTTATGGGTGCAGTTAAGTGGTCAGTGACCCTGTAGCCGACGACATTGGCTTTTACACACCATCTTAGGAGCATTTAATGAGGAACCAGATGACCAGACGAGAACCCACAACACTCGGAGACAATTCCGTTGATTGTCCGCGACTGCTTATTCATCTCGTTTGCAAACGAACTTGATTTATTCAGTTTCCTTCGCAATGAAAACGTTTTTTGATCCACAACCTGGGTACGCAATCGGTAGCGTGCAGGTCCACCGAACCAGCCATAGGTCGGTTTATTCCAACTTGACGAATGGGTTAGTATAACTGATTAATCTGAGTAAGGAGTGCATATTGCCTATCACACTACGCACGCTCGGCATCCGTTACTTGTTACAGCCCACTCATTTCTCTCCATCTTACCGTTACCTTGGTCAGGTCTCGAAGCCATTCAGCATCCTCACATTGCCAATGCTGCGGACAACAGACCGATTTTTTTTAACCTGATCAATCGTTTGTTCTCATTTTGTTTATACGCATTATTCCGTTTGATTAATTCCGTTTCCATTTCTCGCTTTTTGCAGTATGACTGCCGTCTCCGAGCGTCGCCTATTCGTGCAAGATCCCCATTCGTAAGTCTGGAAGTTAACTGTTTTAGCTTAGTTCTGCAACATGTGCTCTTTCCTCTGTTGTCCTCTACCGGTGCGATGCCTCACTGTCTCGGTTTGGTGGGAATTTTTTGATTTTTTGCTTCCAACACCTCTCCTTATCGTCACTTTGCTCTTGGTTTTTAACTTTCCATGTTATTACCGAGTTGGGACCCGAATCAGCAAGTTGGTTACTACTGTCATACACATAGTGACTGAGATGCGTTGTATCCTCCACAGCCTTCGCATTGAGCTTGCACGTCACAATAGCGGGTACCGTGACCAGGGATTTTGTTGTTTGCTGCTGCCAAACAGCCTTTATTTCATTGTTGAATGTACCATCCCCGCTCTTTCATTAGGCACTTGGCTTGTCCTTGATCTGATCATTTACTTATGTTTGTCTACAGGTTCCATCTATGACTCAGTAGTCTCTTGAGGCAGGCACTTCCGGTCACGTCGGGTTCCTCATAATCACATGACTGGTGAATCTCAATTGAGGATGCAATCATCCAATGTTTTTCTCTTTGTCAAAACCTCGGGGTAGCGATTCCTGAAGACAACCACTACTTCGACCCAGGCAACTGGGTAGTAGCCCGCCTAATGATTAACCAGGTAGCTGCACTACACTCTGTCGATCCATTGCTGACCTGCTGTCTTCCAACCATGATTAATTTTCACTTACGCACACACATCCTTCCGTCTAATCTTCTCTTGTCTGTCATTTACCCTTATTTTTGTCCAATTCCTCACTGGCGAACAGCACTACCACCGATGAAACTGTCGTTTTATCATCCCCTAACCCAACCATAGAATGCACAGCAAGGATTAGCCAATCCCAGGCTCCCCCCTTCTTAGTACACAGATAAACTTGGCAACGTTCAAGTTGCGCACTCTGAAACAAGTCGGATGACCAGCTAAGCTTACACGCATCCTGGGAACTCTTGTAATAGTTACCTGCTGCTGCTTGTTCGAATCACGAGTTCAGGACCCAAATTCAGTCCATCAATTGAAGTCACCGATTTGCCCTTTACATTTTCGTCTTTCTAGAGACGCCAATTCTACCACATCTGGGCAATTTGGTGTTTATTGTCCGATACCGCACTCCTTGAAGAAGAGGCTTTACACAACAGTCAGCTTTGTGCTATGATGCTTCATTGCTCGTGTAAGATTGACAGACAGGTAGACTTACTCTATTTTTAGTCTCTGCTTATGCTTCCACTGCCTAGCCCGGATACATTCGATAAGCTTATTCCATCAGAATCTCCATGATCTACTCCCAGAAGTCCCTAGAAAGCAACATCATTACAACGCGGGGTTTCCTTTATAACTGTCAAGCGAACGCCACGTTGTCGGACAGCGCAAATACCTAGAGGTTCGCTCGGCTAATGAAGGAAGTCTGTTCATTGTTTTCTGGTTACCAGTACAAACTTTCGTTACCCTAGACACCAATACGTTACTTGTTGCCCTCCATCGTCCTACCAGCGTTCGTCGCGAGTTGGCCACCTCGTTTTAAGTCAGCGGTAATGTGGCAGCAGTCGGGACCGCAAATCCTGTTGGTCAACTTGCGTCGAATTTGATCACGCACTTGTACGTGCGGTGGTTTGCATGCGTTTCTGTGCGTCACCTGGGATTAAAGAAACTCCACTGATTACTGGCAAATCGGGAGAGGTGGAAATGGAGTATCGACGGACAATCCGGGAGAATCTCACTTTCATTCCACCTCGGGACATTGCTCTGCGGATAGCGTCCGTCGATTCGACTTTTCAAACTCTTTTGCCAAATCATATTTGCTACGCTATTTGTAATGACGAAGCAAACTCCCTGTGATACTTTTTGCGAAATTGTCGACCATATAGCAACTGCTGTAATATGCTTTATGTGTCGTGTGTGCTTTCATATTTTGTGCATCGTGATCTTGAGCGAACTTGCGTGCTAATCGCTCACTTGTGTACTCATGTTTTTTTACTGTGGCTCAGCGGCCTTTTGTCGCACACTTTTGTATCAATACTTATTCGTCGTGCTTTTAAAAGCGCCACCTTGTGACACTAGTTTCTCGAGTGCACTCCGGTGCATTCAACATTTACCCTGATTCCTTTCAGGTGACACCAGCAGCACTTTCTCATTGCGCCTATCCGGTGACGATACAGCTTCGAGTACCGACCAAGCCGGTGTTGGTATTGCCCTGAGTCCCCGGGACGAAGCTACTCTAATTAATGGGATTCCAATCAGTAGCCGGATGTGTTCGGTCCGATTGGCTGGCTCGTTCAAGGCTTCGAAGTCGCGTGTGACTAACGGGTGTCTATTCATGATCGCTGCCTATGCACCGACAAACTCTAGCGATGACTCGTTAAAAGGCAACTTCTACCGTCAATTGAACGAGCTTCTTCGCCACAGAAGAAGCTCGGACACTGTTGTGCTGGCTGGGGATCTGAACACTCAAGTTGGAAAATTATCCACAGATGAGCTGCATCTGGGCGGCCAACATGGTATAGGTTCCCGTAATGATAACGGTGAGCGGTTACTTCATTTGTGTGAAGGTGCTCGCTTATTTCTTGCGAGCATTAATTTCAGACACAGCACCCGCCGGAGGGTGACTTGGCGTCCACCAGCTTTGGACGCAAATCGATCACATTGCGATAAGTTACCGATGGAGAGGTTGCGTCCAGAACTGTGGCTCGATTTGGAGCACAGGTGTGGACACCGACCATGCACTTGTATATGCTGATCTGCGGATGCGCTTTGGCGGACGCCCACGACGACGTTGTGAGCGCATTGACACCAGCCAACTGGCGAAGCCAGCTGTTCTAAATGCCTATCAAAGTACGCTGTCATGCGATTTGGATAAACGCTCACTGGATGCAATTGAAGGTCACTGGTCTCATATTCACCAGACCTTACTAGCAGCAGGCGAATCCTCCATGTGGTAAGTCTAATCGCCAACATAAACATTGGGTCACTTCGCGGTCTTTGGAACTTATTGATGCTCGCCGGAATATTCTGGCTGGAAGCGAACACAATGAAACTCGCAAAGCGCTCCGGGCAAAACTCCGTGCTAGTCTGAAGAGAGACCGCGAATCCTAGTGGTCTGATCGTGCTTCCGATATGCAAATGGCGGCTGCCCTTTGTAACCATGGGAAGTTATTCCGTCTGATACGGGAAACGAGCAGCAGGAGACCTGGTTTTAGTGAAACAATTTGTGACGAGAGTGGACAGCCTATCCACAATTTGTCAAAACGCTTGGAGCGTTGGGCTGAGCAATTTGAAAGGTAATTTAATCGGCCGGCCTGTGATCGCCCCGCTGCGTGGGCTTTACCTTTGGATCTACCCTCTCACTCAGAAGTCGAACGTGAAATCGCACTGTTGAAGTTAAGTACAGCTGCAGGACCAGATTATCTTCCTCCAGCCCTCTTTAAATCCGGGGGACCAGCTCTTTGAGCGATTTACGTGAGTTACCAGTCGAACTGTTGGAGCAGGAAACTGTCCCAACCGACCGGAGCCGTTCCGTCATAGTCCCAATTTTCAAGGGAGGCTCACGATCGGAATGCGGCAGCTATAGAGGAATCAGTCTGATCTCCATCGCCTCCAAATTACTTGCCTCTCTCACCCTTCACAGGCTGACTGGCACTCGTGAAAGCCATATTCGTTTAGAGCAAGCCGGGTTTCGTCGAGGTCATGGCTGCATTGACCACATCTTCACCTTGCGTCAGTTGTTGTAGCACCGTCACATATATTGGCGGCCCAACCTTTGTCGTTTTCCTGGATATCAAAGGTGCATTCGATTCGGTGTATAGACTTGCACTTTGGGATTGTCTACTCAGGAAAGGTGTACCTGGGAAATATGTGAATATTATCCGCGCATTATATGTGCGTAGCTCGGGCGGAATGTGGGCTTACAGCAAGTTGTCCTCGCCCTTTAATATCTCCAGCGGTATGAGACAAGGATGCCCTCTGTCACGTTCCATCTTCCACTTCGCTACTGATGAAGTCATGGAAATCGTGTTTACAGGACACGATTGGGGCGGTGTGGATCTGCTCCCAAGTGAACTACTTCTTGACTTGGAGTATGCTGATGATATTGCCCTAATCTGTGACAACTCCCAGACGTGCCAAGCGGCACTGGACAGATTAGCACTGACTGTCAGTCACTTCGGGTTTTGGTTTGCACTATCGAAGTGCAAAGCGTTCCTCCAAGATTAGTCTGGACCGCCTTTTTCGCTGACTCATGGTGGGGATCAGCTGGAAGTCGTTCAGAAATTCAACTACCTGAGAAGTTGTATCAGCGCCCGTGGGATTGAAGATGGGATCACGAACCGTATAGCGGAAGCTCGAGGCACTTTTGCTAACCTTGGCCGCTTATGGTGGCGGCGCGACATTACTCTCACCCTGAAGGGTAGAGTGTACAATGCAGCAGTACGTTCTTTCCTACTGTACGGTTATGAAACCCGTTTAAGACAGCGGACCTGAAGAGGCTAGTTACGTTCGATCACCGCAATTTTGCTCACATCTGGTGGGAACACCGCGTGAGTAACGAGCGTGTTCGACACCTTGTTTATGGCACCGGAAAAGGAACTGAACCGCTCAGCACCGTTATTTCACGCACCAGGCTCCGATGACTCGACCACGTGTTACGCATGCCAGCCCCCCGACTCCCGCGGCGTGTGTTGTTTGCGCGCCGGGGGTGTGGATGGAAGAGGAGGAGGGGTGGCCAAGCGATGACTTGGTCGAGAGGAATGATGGCCCTCACTTCTGAGCTGGCCTCAGTTGGAGCGTCTCGGCTCCCTGGTTGTGGTCCCAAATACCATGAACACGTTTGGGTGGACACGCTTGTTGATATGGCAAGGAGCCGACCTCAGTGGCGTTCGTGCTGTGAGTTTCTTTGTCCCACCCCATCTCTCTTAGCCTCCCCATCCAACCATGATCTCACTATATAGCCTCATATAATTTTGCATAGTAATTTTTTCGATGCACATTAGCCGGCAGGTAGC